TGAAATCAATGTTCATTAGCGGCTGTCTTATTTTTTGGTTCATTTAAATTTTCTGTTCGAGGATGTGCGGTTGGGAAAGAAAAAAAACATATACTCGAGGAATAATTAACCTTCTAAATTATAAGTTAAATCGTATCCGTGGCGTTATGCAAAGGGTGAGCAGACTAATTCCCTGACCCACTTTTAGTCAAGGTTTGGTTGAGTTACTCAAACTAGTGTGCTTTGGCTGGCTTAGATTCAAACACCTTGGAGGTTACTAGGATCACGTATGACATTGCTCGAGTTTGAAGTTGCTATATCATCCAGGATAGCAAGCGCCAACTTGGATCTCACTGGCAAGATTTCTCATGTCAGAAAAAAATAAGACAATTACGAAAAGAATGTAGAAATTCTTTCCTGTACATAAATCGGCGCGTACTCATACTGGAATTAAGCAAGGCAACCGCTATCTACCGTTACCTAGTTTTTAAAGTGATCCTTAGCAATCTTCTTCTCAGCGTCACGCAGTTTATAAAGATATCTTTGTGATAAGACATGGTAGAGTCGATAAAGGAATTAGAAGATTGTTTACAACTAGAGTTTTCTGTACTTTAGGTCACGGTGATAATGATTTGTCTTCTTTGTCGTTCAAGGGCTGTTTATGAAAACAATATTCAGTACCTGCCGCGTGGAGTTTTTAAAGGCTTAACAAACCTGCAGTCTATGTAAGTCTATTTCTAATTAGCATCTTTAATCGAAGTTAGTGAAGCACTGCAAAACTGGGGTCTTGTGAGAGTGCAGTCGTCCGCATGTTCTGCATCTCCGTCATTTGAGAAGGTTGTATAAAAAATTATTCACGAGTGACCACGATTGAAAGCGAACGACCACGGGCGACCATTAACAACCAAAATTGACCACAAGTGGCTACACGTGATCTAAGGCAAGAAGTTATAAATTTGGCTGACATCAAAATTTCATTATCATCAGGTGACTTTATCCAAAAACTTGGGATTTCAACGTTGATGAACCATATTCCCAGAGACTGACATATGCAATGTATCACTTCCTTCATTGAAAGGGTAGTTCCCAGAGCTACTTCGCTCTCAAGAATTGTTATGTAATGAGCCCGTTTCCGCCTAGAGGCAGAGGGAAGCAAGTTAGGGAAATGAATGGAAAGAAAACGAGCAATAAATAACAAAAATACGTAAAATATAAAACAAAAGATAAAAACGAAACAACAAAAATGCAAAAATGAAAAGTTGACAGAGAAGAGTGACGAGTTATTGATACCGGATAAAAGGCTCGTGTGACGGGAAGTAGGAGGGTGCCACCATTCCTCCCTTCCTCTGGCTACTGCTTAGTAGTTACTCTTAATCATACAAGTAGTTGGTGGCAAGAAGTGATCATTCGTGGTCGCTTATAGACAATCGTGGTCACTCATGGTCACTCTTGGTAACGCGTGGTCACGCGTGGTCACGCGTGGTCACGCGTGGTCACGCGTGATCACGCGTGTTCATTCGCGCTAACTCACAATCAATTATCCTGCTTTTTTTATCTAAATTCATGTTTTCATGTTTGTCCTTAACAAGTTATCCTTTCCTGCTATCGTCATTTACAGGAGCTTTTATTTCAACAAAATCCGCACAGTGAGCAACGAGCAATTCAAAGACATCGCGCAAAGTATTCGATTCCTGTGAGTATGAAACAACTGCAATTATTCAACGTGTACGTGGGATTGTCTATAACTGGCGTTCAAGTTTGTCATGTCAGATAACAGGTGCCATTGCCGTGTTGTCAAGTGAGGTGTCTGTTATGACGATTTGTTTGATATCCGCCGACCGGGTTAAGAATATTCTGTTCCCCTATCGTGGAAAGTCCCTTACAATCAAGGCTACGCATCTTCTGTGTTTCCTTATCTGGATTGTTGGTGGGTTAATTGCATTTATTCCCACGGTGGGCATCGACTACTTTGGTAGTCGCCAAAAAGGTCACCACTTTTATGGCAGATCAGTTGTATGTCTCCCATTGCAGCTATCTGCTGATAAGCCCTCAGGCTGGGAGTACTCTGTTGCCATGTTTGTTGGTTTAAACTTTACCCTTGTGGTCTTCGTCATTGTGGCCTACTCCATGATTATCTACAAGTCCTGCACATCAAACCGGCGCCTGGCTCAGCAAGGGACCGAAAGAGAGAGTAAAATGAAAACCAAGCAAAGGCCAGCCGATTTGAGAAGGGAGGCCTCGCTCGCCAAAAGAGTGTTCTTCATTGTTGTTACCGACTGTATCTGCTGGCTGCCTATTGTGGTGATTGGAATCACGTCTCTCTTGGAAAAGTCCTTCCGTACACCTGGTGGCCTGGCAGTTTGGATCGCAGCCTTTGTTCTGCCGGTTAATTCTGCCATCAATCCCATTCTCTATACTTTATCAACAAAACAGGTGATAACTCGCAACCTTCATATCTTTGATAAGCTGAAATTTAGAGGATACTTTTATATATATTTGTTCCATGCCGTGAAGAATGTAAGGTGAACCAGTTGAAGGAAAAAATTTCGCTCAGCACGAAGAAAATTTAGCGGCATTTCATATTTGAATATTTTCGGTTTGTCCTTGATCTTCCAAAAGAAAGAAAAGTTCTTGTAGAAAAAAACCTTCTAAAAAATAGAACGCACCATAAAGGTATTACATTTTGACGATAAACAACTCAAAATAATTTTACAGTGGCATCCCCCGAGTGCTTTGAGGATCTTTTTCCATTGAGAAGAGAGCATTTTGCAGTTTGAATTAGCGACTTAAGCCGAAAAGAGCCACTACATTTGCGAAGCGAGCGAGCTGCGAAATACGATATCTTAAGTTCTTCAAAAGACTGATGGAACAGAAGAACTGAGAAACGATAGAACGGTGCATCGGCGGAATTGTGAAATATGTTGGGACGCGGAAAGACCGGATACTTTTTATGCATGAAAAAAAAAGAGCCTCAAAAGATGGAGTTTTGATAAAATAGCAAAGCTATTCATAATTCACAGGCGAATTAAAAGAAGCAAAGGCATTCAATGTTGGAGCCTAGAGGATTGGGAAACATGCCTCTTTCGAGCTAGCCCCTTTAAAGTATTGTTGTATTTACATTGTTAGCATTATTATTATTGCTAATACTAATATTTGTTACCATTCTATTATTGACTGAATGTCAAATGGACAATATATTCCTGAATCATCTTCCTCTGGTNGCTTTACAGTACCTTTACGCGTACATATAAAGCTAGCGTGATGAAACACCAACTTCACAAAACACCTTTACGTTTTGCTTAAAGCTTGTGTAAACCCTACCTTAAGCTTGTGTAAAGCTAATATACAGGCTCCTTTACGCCAAATATATACCTATACAAAAACTCTGGAAACGTTCAAAATGCCGGTAAATTTTTCTTCCCAAGTTTTAGCAATTAGGATGTTCATTTGTTAGCAGCGCTAGCATCATCACTGATGAATACGAACCAGACGCACGGCCACGCCACTCAGGTAGTACTAGTCGTGCACGATTATTTCGGCTGTGTTAGGGCACATCAGCACGGGGTATCCAGCAAGGTCTCATTTGCGCTCTCAGTCTAAGAGAGTTAAGAGATGGCGATGGTGATGTAAGCACCCGCTATATGCGCCAGCTCCACGTTAAACATGTGGTAGCTGTTGAGAACTGTAAAACAGTTCTCCCACGGCATGCGTATGGAGATAAGATGATTTGTAACCTGTGTGCTCAAAAAAATTGTAAACAACACTAATGACAGCACTGAAGCACACGTACAATCCCCTGGTACGGCTTATATCGTATGCATGCGCACAACCATATCACCCGTGAAGTGGCAGCCATGGACAGCAGTTTCGCCCTTGTTGTGGTCACTCCATGACTGTGTAAATTGATCTTTAATCACTTTTAAACAACTTTAAATAATAGCTTAAAGTTGGTCATACAACTTTAGGCAAATTGAGGCCATATTTACGTTTTCGTAAAGCTGCATTTTCATGCTGTGAGCTTGCATTTTTAAGAGTTGTCCTCTGCGATGAGTGTGAGCTTTAATTGACTATAGTATTTGTCGTGTAAGATTGTTTCATTAAATTTCATTAGTTCCTCAAATCTGATTAAGTTTCATTGCCACGCGATAGCCTTCTGGCGTTTGCACTTCTGCGTGATTATCTTAAAAACTGATTATCTTTGGCTAATCAAGCGTGTTGAAATGGCTTTTACCTTCATGATTGTAAAATCAGTGAGCTGATCGGCGTATCATATACGAAGCCATGAGAAGACACACAGGGCTTGTACTGTAAGCATCTCAGAGAGCTCCATATAATTCCTAATTCAGGAATTGTATGGAGCTCTCCGGAATACTTACAGTGAAAGCCCTGTGTGTCTTCTCATGGCTTCGTATATGATACGCCGATCAGCTCACTGATTTTACAATCATGAAGGTAAATGCCATTTCAACACGCTTGATTAAAGTTGTAACTGTTTTCCAAAGGCCAAGATGAGGGCATGGAAATGCGAGTGATCGAAGAAGGTATGAAACATTTATTAAGCTCGAGTAAACATGGAGACGTAAATAGAGGTTCCGCCCTTTAGTTTCGGTGAGAGAGTGAAAAAAATCATTCCTTATGAGCCATCTAACCCTTGGAGTCGGAGGCCAGGATGGGCGAAGGAAAAAACACTTAAAATGACCGGAAAGAAATACCGCTGATGTTTATAGGAGAAACTACTTTATGAAAATTGCTACTTGGATTTGTTTTTCTTGAAAGAGCTGCTATCAGAGTTGTTTTTTTAATAAATACCGTCAAGAGAAAGTGCATAGGAAATAGCAGTTGTAGTACAGAACACTTTTTATTTTATAACTTTTCCCTTTTCAGTTCTGATCCATCGAGAGGCAGAGAGTGATGACAGCGATGACAGTGATGACGAATCGAAACATCTAAGTGGGCATGGGCAAAGCGCAGAACAGACCGATCATGAACAGCCTGGAGAGAGAGATGAGACTGAACAGGATGAAAAATCAGAGGAAGACCAAGAAGGCCAATCAGATCAGAGAGACGAACCTGGAAAACGAGAAGAAGAATCTGAAGAACAACATGAGGATGACATGAAAGATGAGCCGGACAAACAAGAAGAAGAATCGAAAAGCGACTGCAAAGCCTCCAAAGGACACGTTGAAAATAACATTGCAGTTGAACCTGACAAACAAGACGAAGAATCAAAAAACCACTTCGAAGAATCTGAGAAGCAAGATGAAGATGGTATGGAAGAGGAAGCTGGGGAAGACGAGCAGTTTATCGCGAATAAAGGTATGTATACCAACCCTAGCCTCCGCTTCCTTTGAAAAAAAGAAAAGAACTCTGATGCATTGAGATATTTTTCATCAATTTGGAGGACTAATAGTGAACAACATCTTCTCGCTATTCCTTAAACAAATTGTTTGTTTCGACAATATCGTGACCTTCCTTACCCTGCTGAACTACATTCAGGGGTTTACTCGAATAGTGAAATAACTTTTTTCTCANGTAGCCTCTGCGTGCTGTCGTTTTTGGGCCGTAGGAAGATGCTAGACAATATTTGCCCCTTCTTATGCGACACTTTTACTATGATGCCTTTCTGAAGCAGTTTAGAGATTTCTCTTTCAATAATTTCATGCTCAGCATCAGTAACTAGCATACAAGGCAGGGTATGCTGTTGTAGTTTCTCAAATAGGTCAGTCTGTGTACCATTTACATGAGATAGCAACATTTTATCATTACTGATTTCATTCCAAGCTGAAAGGCAGGTACCTATTTGCCCGGCCTGGAATGATTGGCACATCTCAGTAAAGTGTTCCACAAGAGTGGGTAAAAATTCATAGAATAGACTTACAATTGTTTTAAGTTGCAAAAGCCGTGTTTCTCTTATTTTATCTCCGCTGACTGTTGTTTTTTCCTTTTCTAAGGTTTGTTGTGGCCTTTCCACAAAAAATCTCTCTTCGCTTTAAAGGCGTTGTAGTTCTGTGACCCAGTTGTATGGCCTTGGCTTTTATGCCCTTTCTGAGTGGTATAGAGGGCCTTGCTAACTTTACTAGCTTCCATGGCATCTCTGAGTTGTTTAGCTAGATCGTCTCCAAAGAGATATTCACTGTCGATTGGTATGTCTGCAGAGCAGATGGTGTTGTATTCCGATTTTAAGGCCAGTTTAATTTGTTCCCTCCTGAGATGCAAGAGCTGCGTGTGTACATGACTTAACATGGCTAATGACTCAACTTGAGGCTCAAAAATCTTTGAATTAGATTCCCCGGTGGAATTGCTGGATAGCAGGTTAGTTATGTGTAAGTTTGCATAAATGACTTTGCATATACTCTGTTACATATTTAACAGATTTAAATCAGCAGATCGTTTTTTAGAATTAAGCTGTGTCCAGATTTCACTGTTTACCTTAGTTCCCTTTATTGCTGTGCAGTTTTCAGGGCATTTTGTACTTTTCTACAAAGAATTTAATTTTTGCAGCATCTAATGTTTTTCCCCAACGCTTTTGTGCAATTTGTGCCAGCTCTGTTTTGATTTTGTCGCCGGTGGCTTCGTCATCGTCGAGCTGGTTAGCGAGTTCTTGGAACAGAGTTTCACTAGCGGACGCTTCCCGCTCTTTTTGGCCGGTGGCTTTCTATTGCTTGGTGAGCGTGTGGATCGTGGACGTCCTT